GGGGAGAAAAGAGACAGGAAAAAGGAGGAGGGAGGGGAAGGAGGGGGAGGGGGAGAAAACGGCAGAAAAATTTAGCCGTGAAATGCACAAGGCAGAAAGAGTTACAAAGATGCAAAAATGACTGTGGAAAGGGGACAGGCAAAACAGGGGGACAGGGGTAGCAACAGCGACGGTGACACAGAAAAATATATTTCTAAGAAAAGATGAAGAAAAAGATCCAAAGCAACAGAGCTAGAGAGACTATGGCAAAGCTAAAGAAAAGCTGAAGTGTAGAAGACAGACTGACTCCTAGAAATACCTCCCCGCCCCCTTTTCTGGCTTGCTAGGGTTCCCGCGTTCCCACACCCTTCTGGTTTAAGCCCGATCTCCCAGGAGGGTTCGTTCTCCCCCCCCCTCCCCTCCCCACACACCCAAGTCGTAACCCCGCTCCCGCCAAGACTGTGAGACCCAGCACGCGCGCGGTGAACTAACCCAGACTCAGGGCTTCATTGTACTTGAGTAGCGCCGCTTCCACTTGCTGTTCCTGGTAGAGCTGATTGCCCTCCTGCCGGAGTTGCGACGCTCTCACGAGTCCCGGGAACAACTTCACAAGAAGACCTCGAAGCACCACGTTGACCCGCAGTGGCAGGGGCGCCGCCTTCTGGGCCCGCCGGTGGCCCCACACTCGCCCACTGGTCACCATCAAGGCAGACAGCTTGACCCCGCACAACGCACAACTCCGGTCGGCTGCGCTCTCCACTTCCAGGCACAACTTACAAAAGGTGTGGCCGCACCACAAGGACACTGGATCAGAAAAAAATCCATGACACTTTCTGCACTTAAAGCCCTCCCATACCTCGGTGGTCTCCACCATGCAGTTTGAGGCGCTGCTCGGGTTCGAGGGTGCCTCTTCCTGCGCGATCTTTTCTGCCAGGCAAAGCACCAGCTGCTTTAACTGTTCGGCTACCAGCTGCTGCTTCTCGGAGAGTTGTCTGTACACCTCGAGGGCTTCCCGAAGGCAACCCCGAGACGCCAAGTCGTGGGCTTGTGTGAGTAGGACTTCACATTCTGGCGACGTCGAGGTCCTTGGGGACCGCTCTAGCTCTTGCTTCCGTAGAAGCTCGGGGTCCGAGTCTACCTCGGCCGCTAGAGCTGCCTTCTCCATCGGCTCCGCCAGTTCTAAGTTGTTGCCGCCGAGCTCTGAGGAAAAGCAAAACATCTGTTCAGCCTGAAAGGGATCTATAGACAGAGGGACCCGCTCAGGGAAGAGACGTCTAGGGACAGTGCACAAGGAGCAAGGAGTGGCGTTTGGAAAGAATCCGGACGATCTCGGCCACTGTACCGCCACACACCCGGCTCCGCCGCGCCTCTGCGTGCTCCAAGCCGACTGGCCCGAGCCGCCTAATAACTGTCTTGTCTCAGCAAAGTGTTATATAAAACGTCACCACGTGACGTCCCACCGCGCAGCTCATTGGCCAGAGGCGGGGAAATTGTTACAAAACCAGACAGTTTTGTAACAGTGTTGTGCTCGCTTCTTTTTGGCTCCGCTTTTCTTGGCTTCTTTGGGCGGTTGTTGCTGTTTACACGCTGCCTTGTTTCCCGCTCAAACTTGGGCGCCTTTTGAAGGGGGGAGGGGAACTCAAACTCTTCCCTCGCGTTTTCCCGTCTCCAAACGCCACCCCATCCGACTTCCAAACTAGCCAGCAAACAAGTCTCTTAGGCCAGCTGCTTGCTACCGTGGTGCCCTGCCCTGCCCTGCCCTGCCCTGTTCTGAAGAAGCTGGTACCTGGAAGCACTGTGGTTCAAATGCTTTCCTTCCAGGGGGCAACTACTACACTCTACCTGGGACACGAGTTGTTTGCGAGAGGGTGCGGGGAAAGCCCGCGCCTCTGATACCCGCCCAAGAACCCTGGAAACTCCGCCGTACCTCTAGGCTTTGCTTGCAGTCTCCCTGAGACGAAGAGTGCGACGTCCTGGAGAATTCTTAGGCTCTGGGCCGGTGCGCTCCTGAGAGAGCGTCCAGCGAGCGCAGAAGTTGAGCAGCGCTCGAGAGACGCGCCGAGAAAAGCTGGTGCGGCTTCAGGGAACGCCCGCCTATCCCCTCGGCGCGCTTGCCTCGCTCCTCCCAACGCGCGGGAACCTGCTTTTGGGTGGGCTTTAGGGGCCGAGGCTAGAGACCCACAGCCCAATGGGCAGGGCAGAGTGGGCGTGGCCTGGAGCGCTGCTTGCTGGGTTCGGTGGGTACTCTAGGGGCGTGGCCTGGATCACGAAGCTTGCTAGGTTCGATGGGTACTCTAGGGGCGTGGCCTGGTGCACGACGCTTGCTAGGTTCGGTGGGCACTCTAGGGGCGTGGCCTGGTGCACGACGCTTGCTAGGTTCGGTGGGCACTCTAGGGGCGTGGTCTGGAACCCGGCGCTCGCTAGGTTCGGTGGGCACTCTAGGGGCGTGGTCTGGAACCCGGCGCTCGCTAGGTTCGCTGTGGACTCTAGGAGCATATCCTGGAGTAAAGAGCTTGCTAGGTTCCGTGGGAACTCTACGGGCGTGGCCTTTAGCACTGCGCTTACTGGCTTCTGTAGATACTCTGGGAGCAAGAAGGACTGATGAAAACCAAAAGCAGTGCTACTCTAGGGAAAGTTTGTGAATCCAAATGCAGCCCAATGACCAAGTTTCTTTTAGAATCCCGATCCTCGAGTACGTAGCTGTTTTAACAGCATCATGCCACAAGTGAGAGTCTCGCGGAAAGGGCACCAGAAACCTCAAACAAACCACTGTGGCCAGCCGCACACACGCTGTTTTGCCTCCCCTCATTTCCGATGAGAGCCAGGAACACAAATCAGCTGATAGGCTTCACATGTAAGGGACTAATGCACTTCCTGAAGGCCAGTCGTGATACTCAAACTGGGAGGCAGGGTTTGGGCTTGCCTAGGCGCAATCAGTGGTCCCACTAAAGCCTACAGGCAGCGCTGCCCCTGGACCTGAAGATTAAGAGTGAGCTTCAGTTGTGGCCACTACTTAGCTACGTGTCGGCAGAGCACCAAAACTCTAGAAGTCCTCATTTTCAGTTCACTCTGAACTAACGGCAGGCATGATTTACTTGGAATTAAATAGTATTTCACAGCTGAGGAGGCCAGACTCCCTTGGGGTTCTGCGTCTCTTGCTTGTTAATCCCACCTTGAGCCAACACTAAGATCCCGCAAAACAAGTTCTGTGCAGTGAGCGCTAGAGCTTCTCTCTCTAGCAAAAACAGGGAGAAAGGGACATAGAAAGGAACATAGACAAAAGAAGGGGAGGGAAAATGAGAGGGTGAATATGATCATATAAAACACCATAACAAAATCCACTAAAACTAAAAAGAAGCTGGGCACTGGTGGCTCACACCTGTGATCCTAGCTACTCAAGAGGTAAGATCTGAGTATCAGCTTTTGAAGCCAGCCTGGGCAGGAAAGCTGTGACTCTTACTTCCAATAAACTACTAAAAAAAAACCTGCAAGTGAAGCTGTGGCTCAAGTGGTGGAATGCTAGCCTTGAGCAAAAGATGCTCAGGGACAGCACCCAAGCCCTGCATCTAAGCCTCAGGAACCCATCCCCCACCACCCCCAAAAAACCTAAAAACAAAATGAGGGTGATGGTGATGTAGGGTGTCCTGATAGAAAAGGTAGCACCATTTAGTCAGTGACAAGATGCCACAAGGTTACATTACAATGGACACTCTAGTCCAGCACCAAATGTCTTTCTATCGATTGTTGGAAAACTTGACCACAGTGATTTTCTTTCAGTTAGACAAATAATTATCTTCATATATGCTGGTGGATCAACTCAGAAATCCCCTACTCTAAGTCTCTTCCTCCTTGCTCTTACTAATTGGAGCTCCCTTCTTACCCAGTTGGAAGGGCAAGGGGGAGATTGACAATACCTTTTTTTAAATAAGGAGAGAATTTTAGGATATCTGTTAAATACCACAATTTCACATGCCAAAGGAGAAGCCATGTTGTCAAAATGCCCACTTAAGCAACTCAAAAATCTCAAACCCACCCTTTGCTGACCTTCTATAACCCATTTTTTTTTAGTTTTTTTTTTAAAAAGACAATACAAGCTGGGCGCCGGTTCACGCCTGTAATCCTAGCTGTTTAGGAGGCTGAGATCTGAGGATTACAGTTCAAAGCCAACCCAGGCAAGAAAGTCCATGAAACTCTTATCTCCCATAAACCACCAGAAAACCGGAAGTGGTGCTGTGGCTCAAGTGGTAGAGGGCTTGCCTTGAGCTGAAGAGCTGAGGGACTGCACTCAGGCCAGAGCTCAAGCCCCATGACCGACAAAAAAAAAAAGACAATACATTTTCATGCCAACAGTTCCTTTCGAAGAGCAAATCAAACTATCACTTATTTGATAAAAGGGAGAAAAAGTTGAGCAACCCCACATTTTCACAGAGTGCAGCTATAGTTTTCCAATTAGGATCAAAAGAACTTCCCTGGGAAGCCAGGCGCCGGTGGCTCACGCCTGTAATCCTAGCTACTCAAGAGGCTGAGATCTGATGATCTCAGTTCAGAGCCAGTCTGGGCAGGAAAGTCTGTGAGATTCTTATATCCAATTAATCACTCAAAAACTGGAACTGGCACTGTGGCTCAAAGTGGTAGAGCACTGGCCTTCAGCAAAATAGCTCAGGGAGAGTGCCCAAACCCTGAGTTCAAGCCCCTTGACTGACAAAAAAATAAAATAATTTCCCTGGGACCCCAAGGAGAAAAGTAGACAGGACCTAATGCTAGCTCTTCTCAATCTGGGCAGCACCGTGTATATCTGGCTCATATACTCAGCTCCTAGGTACAATCATGAAAGATTTCTTCTTTATATACAGAAAATTGGAGTCAGGAAAATTTGCATTCGTTTTGTGAATTTATTGAGCATCTTCTATGGATCAGACATTGTTCCACATACTAGAGATATATCAAAGCTGCCTTCATTTCCAGGTCCTCCTCCAAGTGTGGTAGCACATTGTACTCGTCCCCACACCTTCATGTTCTTATGCTGGCATCCTGTGTAGAGCAAATGCTCTCTGAGAGCAAAGATTGATTTTTTATATCCTTTTTTTCCCTCCTGAGAGGACAGTGAATAGATCTTATTGAACATGGCAATAGATATTCTGTCCCTGGTTGGAAGTATGCAGAGGGACAAGAAGCAACTCTGGACTCATTCTTTCATAGAATGCATCAGGAATGGCTGGCAAGCCTGTTAGAACAGAACATTAAGCAGCTCTGGGATGGGAGAGTGGAGTCAAAGCCAGGAACACGAGACAAAGAGTGAGCAGACATACACACACAATGCCTGGAAGCTTGCTCTCTACTTGGGTTTCTCATTTCATAACCCAGGATCAATTTATTATCCTTTCAGAGAAAACAAAACAGTATGGACTCTAAAGGCCTTCACAGGGGGAATAAAAAGACTTCCCCTTGCTCTGGAGAGTAACTCAAACCCAGCACTAACAAAGACAAGGCTAGGGACATGCTTTAGGTTATAATGGGAAGTTGAGTCACAGCCAGGCTTGGAAACTAGAACTCATAGATAGATAGATAGATATTTTTTTTGTCGGTCATGGGGCTTGAACTCTGGGCTTGGGTACTATCCCTCAGCTCTTCAGCTCAAGGCGATGGCTCTACTGCTTGAGCCACAGCGCCACCTCGGGTTTTCTAGTGGTTTATTGGAGATAAGAGTCTCACGGACTTTGAACCATGATCCTCAGATCTCAGCCTCCTGAGTAGCTAGGATTACAGGCGTGAGCCACTGGCGCCCTGCTCTAGAACTCATATATATGTGTATATATATATTTTAATTTTTCATTTATTATTATTATTATTTTTGCTGGTCATGGGGCCTGAACTCAGGGCCTGGGCGCTGTCCCTCAGCTCTTTAGCTCAAGGCTAGCACTCTACCACTTGAGCCAGAGTGCCACTTCCGGCTTTTTCTGTTTATGTGGTGCTGAGGAATTGAACCCAGGGCCTCATGCATGCAAGGCAAGCACTCTACCACTGAGCTAAGCACTCTACCACTGAGCTACCTTCCCAGCCCCCTAGAACTCCTATATTTTGTGGAGAGTTTTTCCACATGATCAGAAAGCTTCAAAAGGACACATAACATCTCTCAACTGAGTAAGAAATTATTTAACATTTTTATCTACCAACAAATGGAGCTGGCATTTGTGGAGGAATTATAGAAGGCTATGACACAGTCTTCATCCTCCATTAGCTTACTGAGGAAACAAGAGGCAAAGTTTGAACTGTTGTTAAGTAACAACAGGCAGTATGTGAGAAGTGCCAACATTGGGAACAGTGTGT